AAACCTTTTTCTCCGTGTATATCGAGGTTGTATACACATCATATTCAAGGTTACGAATTTTGAGCCATCGAACATCAAAGGCGGCATCAAAGCTTTCGCATTTGTATTTAATCTGTGACTATATGGTACCCAATTTCTCTAAAGAACTTTATGATTGTGAACTAATCCTACCGAATATTGCAGATCATTCATCTCATTTATTAGCTTTTAGAAAACAAAGTACCAAGTAATAAAAGGAAAGTTCAGTTAAATCTGTTCTGGTAAAAAGATAACTTAATGTATGCAGCATTAATGAATTACGAACTAGACTAAGTAGTACAAGTTGGTTTCCAGTGCTACATAATATGACTATTCATGATGGTTTCTTTTTTTTCTAGAGTCCTTCTATTGGTGCTTCGATGACATGTCTTAAAAGACGAACTGTTGTCAATAAAGGTATGAAAAATTGCTGGATTACTAATGATGTAGTCTAGAAAGGAAAATATCTTAAAGACATGTTCCATTTTATTGTAACAGATCAAGGAGTTGACCCTAGCAATATGGCTGTATACAAAACTAGATTGGAAGAACACAAAAAAACGTCAAGCACAATAAGATGAGCTACTTTTCCACAAAAATTAACAATGCCAATAACATAATTAAAGAAACCTGGAATATAATAAACAGCGAGTTGAGAAGAAAAAAAAAACAACTACTTTCATATAAATCTCCAATTACACGAAAATTGCCATTTGACATTCAGTTTGTATTTCAAATTTTCGTTATGGAATTGAAGCAGATATCATTCACGGGAATGCTATACAATGTTCCTTCAAACCGATAAAATGAATGAAAAATTGAGGATAGGCTACCATAACAGAGTTTTACAGCGATATAACTGACACCCATGAAATTAAAATCTAGGTGGCATTATTCTTGTATCATATGCGACTCTCAGAACCTAGTTATGCATCATTAAATCACCGTCACTGTTCTGAGAGAATTGAATCAATGAAATCACAGATCAAATATAAATGTGACTAAATATTCAAATTTTGCATGAATGCTTCTACAGAAATTTATAGGTTCAATTTGATATTATGATAATGACAGTGACAAGGCCCCTAACTCTACCGAGACTACTCAAATGAATATGTACCAATACAACCAATACAGTGTACAGATACAAGATACCGAAATGAAAAAGGATTGCCACGCTTCACTGATTCACATAACCTCAGTAAAAAAAGACAATTCTTCAATTCAAACTCCACTTTGAATGCTGAAAATTTATATGATATTCAGAAATCACAATATCTTTATCGAAACTTATTGGTATAATAAATAATACATCAATAATTCGAATCGAAACATTATTCTGAATAATTCATGGAAATAAGAAAGAATTGATACTTTGTTTTTGAATCAATGTATTCAGTTGAGAATATTCTTGGGAATAATCTTTACGAACACCATTTTCATCAATTTTTTCATCTCAAACTTTATTATTTTTCAGAAATACCAATCGAGCATCTACCAACAGATGAAACCATTCATCCCATGATTTCGTTATTTGATCGTGCTAGTTGCTCTCATGGTCTGAATAATGAAGTTTTCGTGAAAAAATAAAAATTTATTGATAAAATTTTGAGGTCTTGTGGTATTACTTTTGAAAAAAATTCTTCAGTTTGTATCTGAAACAAACTTCTATGCTCAATCTACACATCTTTTTATAGAGTTTATTGTGAACTTCCTCCTTTCTTGGAAAGTTTCCTACATTTTTTTATAAACTATGGGAAACTAGAAAGCCAAAAAGGTTTTATTCCAAAAACCTAATCTCTCGTAAAACATATTCCCCGTTCAATTTATAGATAATGAGAGATTTTACAAGAGAAATACTATTTGTTTGGGTTTTTTTAAAGAGATTAGTTTTTGGGAGGAATATTTTGGACTTTTTTTTTATTTCTAGGAGGTAGGAAATCATAATGAAGAAAAGAGAAAAGAAAGTTTCTATGTTTTTTACCACTTTTATTCGTAACTAACGTTACTGCAGTTTCGTCCTATCCGGACATTTTCAAACTCATATGTTTATTGGATAAGTTTGAAAATGTCCGTAAAATGTATGTAAAAAACATAGAAAGTTTCTTTTCTCTTTTCTCCAAAACTCTTCTTAATGATGTGTTGTATAAGTTTCTTCAATATATTAACCGGAAGAAAAAACAATCTATTCAAAACAACTACTTTCAATTATGAACATCGAATTACACAAAAATCACTTTTTTTAAAATAAATTTATACACCAAACCTTGATGGAATTGAAACAAATATCATTCACATGAACGCTTCACGAAGTAATATATACTTTAACACACTGTGAAAAAATAATTAAGAGACAAATAAAAATCATGATATACTCACCTATAAGATATTCCAATATTAAATTCCATCCTATTATAAAAGCAAAAAATTCTCCTATGCATACATAACTATATACGTAAGCAGAACCAGCCTTTGGAACTCTTGCTCCAAATTCAGCATAGCACAAACCTAAAAAAAGTTACAATAATAACAGAAGGATAATATAATGGACGTCTAAATCAGCAATTATTTTGAAGAGAAGATTATAGTTGTTTGATGGTCATTAGTTTCTTTTTTGGTTGTTCGCAATGAACATTCGTTGTGATTGAGGAGGATTTTCGAAGAGTAAAGTTTACGATTCCATTCCAATTAATTACGGAAAATATAGTAAATCATTCTGGTTGTAAGCAATGCCTATCTAGAAAGTTTTCATTTTTTTTTCATTTATTGCACATTCAATTCTTCATTCTATTTTATTTTTCATTATTATTACTTGCACGATATTGACATTCCATTTACCCAAAGAATGTAAACTTTCACGGTCGGAGATAATTGTGTGAAAGCTATTTTCCGGGTTTTTTGCCAGGTTTTACTGCCCGGAAAATAGTTTTCACACAATTTCACTTACTGCTCAACTCATCTATCAATTCATTTTCATTTAATGTCACAGTTTCCTTTACAAATATTTTTGTTATATTTTTGGAAATTTATTTTTGTTGCTCGTTTTTTCTCATTGTCCTATTTTTTTCAATAACTCGTCCATCTGAATATTTCGGTTCTGGGGTTTCGATATTTTTAATATTTCATTCATCATCATTTTATTTTTCTACTAATAGATTCCAAATCTGTAAACACCTTTTTAGACAATGAAATAATCCGCGAATTATTCAAAAACTGATATTTCGGACTAAAAGAGTTCGAAATAACTGCTTTGACAATCTGAATATTTTGATGAATTAGTTGTCATTGAGCATTTCCAGAGGATCGTTCTTGGTTCAGGACCAAACATTTCGTAGTGGATTTCTGGCAAGATTATGTACAACTTCCACATTTTGTAAGTCGTTAAGCCGAATAAACTTTTCGATTATTATTCAAACACAAAAACTACATGAAAGCTATATTTTGCTTGTGATGAACCTATGAATAGGATTCAAATTCTCAACGAAACTTTACAAAACCAAGGACAAATACAATTCTGTATATTCTGAACCAGTGATATATCCATATACGATAATATGCGTTCTGTTGTAAAACCATTAGGAATATTTCAAATCACATCATTATACGTAAGGGTATATTTTTTCTATAGATTTCAAAGGTGAACATTTCCATACCTATGTGGATAATACCAAATGATTGTAATGTTGAGAATCGAGTTCCAAGGATAGGTAGGGTCAGAGGCTCCAGTCCGATAGATATAGATATATTTTATTGGTCCATTCAAAAGAACTTTTACAAGTTATGGGACAAGTCACGAAACAACTCATATAAGTAAAAAGATACAAATTTGTCACTTTAACAGATTCAAAATATAATATATACAAACAAATACATATACTTATACCAATATATACACCCATATATACATATGTATACATACATTGCACATACATTGCACACATACATTGCACATTTAAGAACACTTAAGAATTTAAACACATCAAAACGATTTTGTTTGAAAAAAATTCAACTCATATCTAACATAAGCACCTTGATATAATATTTAAAATATTTCAACTTGGTAAATCTTTTATATTCATTAGGTAATATATTATAAAGCCTAAAGCCCACTATTTGGTATGATTTTTGACACCATGATGTACGATTTCTTGGAATATGTAGATCATTTTTTATTCTTGTATTATAATGATGTACCGATTCATTTTTCATGAACTTATCTAAATTTTTGTGTATATACATCAATAGTTCAACGATAAATAAACCATAAACCGTGAGAATATTATACTCTCTGAATAGTCTTCGACAGGAAGTTCTTGAAGATACGTTAGCAATGTGTCTTATTATTCTTTTTTGTGTTATTAAAATATCCTTCGTAGAAGACGAGTTAGCCCAAATCAAAATGCCATATATCAATCTTGACTAAATGTGACCATAATAAAATAATAGTAATGCTTGTTTATCCAGAACATTTTTCAAAACTCTAATTTGATAATACTTGCTATTCAGATTCTTCATGAGATTTATGCAATGAGTGGAGAGATTACAATCAAAATCTATTCCTAACGGTAGAAGAAAAAATATTTTGATTTTATGTAATGAATTTATATTAGAGAAAGAGTAGAAGATAATTCCTTCAAACAATCTGTAGAAAATGACATTTTCTGTTTTTCGGCGAAGAAGAGGTTTGTGCTAGTATTTCAAGTTGATTTTCAAAGGTACAGCAAAGAAAAAATGCGCATACACGTAATTTTATAGTAGAATCATTATTAAAATCAATATTATCATTACCTGCAAGGATTGAAGCCAAAGCTGCAATGAAAAAAGATATGATAACTGCTGGACCCGCAGTATTTTTGGCTACGTCTCCTGCTAATACGTAAACACCCACTCCTAGGGTGCTACCTATTCCAAGTGCAGTTAAGTCAAATGTAGTTAATACTTTGGCTAGTTTCGAATCATGTTCCATATTCACTATTTTCTTTCTTGTCAATGCTGCTTGTGTTTGGGACCACGTTGGGATTTTCATTTTCATTTTATCAGGACCTCCTACGAATCGAATTTTATATGATTATAATGAAAACTAAATATTAGTCTGATATACATTGGTCTCATATACACTACTGAAATTCGCATTATATGGGAACATTTCTCATTGATAAGAATGTCTCAGTTCTAGTAGATGAAAAAAGTGCTCTTATTAGTTTTTTATCGACCTTAATTTTCATCTTCAGCGAGTTGTTCTCAATGTCAAAATCTGACAAGCACATTCAGTAACGTTAACAGTTCACAAAATCGCTTTACCTCAATTCAGATACTAACGATATTCTGAGAGATGATCCTTCAACTCTGTACCAGAAAGAGGTGAAGGAAAACCAAAATTAAATGGATCTGGATTTGAATAGAAGTGATAAACGTAAGGTGGTGATCATGAACCCACAACCACCGAAACTATATTATCTCACTAAATTACATAAAACCAATTTTTCAAATAGATCTGTAATGTTATTTGGTGTGGCTCCAACTGTAAAAATTTCAGAAATGATCACACAAGTAATTAAAACTTACAATAATTTCAAACTGCGATAATACGTATCAATTGGTGAATAATATTGAATACATAACTCTTCCTAGTAGCGTTTAGTTCATATCGTTTGATGTCCAAAATGTATTTCCCATTATTCCGCTAATTGAAACGAATGAGCTCGTTGAGCGTCTCTTAGACAGAAACCATGTTATCTTGTTGTCAAACAGGAAATTGTAGATCTATCTTATATTTGCCTATTTCAAAATTATTTTCAATTCAATAAAAAGTTGTATTCATGCATCGAAGTGCTACCCGTTGAGTCTTTTACTAACTGAAAATAGTATGAATAACCTTAAAAATGAAATTAATGATAATGAGTTCATTAACTGGTACAGTTATTATGATATCTTAGAATGTTTTACTGGGGCAGGTAGGCAATTAGGTAAGTTTATCGAATAAAACAAATCCATTCACCCGTGAATAATATTCACCACAGAAAGGAGAGTTAATAATTCAAAAATTTTTACATAATTGTCATACATAATTCCTCCACACATGCCTATGAGCATGAACCAGCAGCAGTCAGTAGAATGCTTCACATACTATTGAATATTCCAATGTCAGAAAGTAATTTTCAGAGAGAACTGAGTTTTATCAAACAAATTGCTGTCAACAACGGTTACAAGGTAGATATTTACTGACTCCATTCTTTCCAAAAAATTACAAAAACAAGCCATTTACCAGTTATACCTACCCCACTTCAAAACAGTAAAAACAAAATTTCATAGTATACTGACATACTTTGGTGAATCCACTTATAACATCGCTTGTTTATTGAAAAAGAAAGATTTGGATGTGGAATATAAAACGAAAAATATAATTCACCATTCTTACCACCATTTCTATGGAAAATGGATGAATTTTTGATATGATTTAGTTCAAGTCAAGCTGATCAAAAATGTCATTGAGCCCAACTCAATTCTATGGCTAGTTTTCGAAAGTTGGTAAGTGGCCATTTCTTAGTAATATTACTTTCAGGAAAATACCCTGAAGGAAAATGTTTTGCGCGACGAATATTACTTACACATAAAGCAATACTTTTAGACTAGTTTCTGATAAAAAATATTGTTTTATATAGGGTGAGTGCAGCATTATTCAAAATGAAATTCTCAATCAATCCTATGAAGTGAAGACGTGAACAAACCAAGTAACACACTGATATGCTTATCGTTTCTCAAAATTGATTATTCCAACATTTTGTATATCTTTTTTATACTTTGAGCTTTAGGGAAACTTGACCACGAACCATTCAACACACTTGAACGAAATTGATTCACAGTAATTACGAAAATATTTTTTATAAGTCATGCTGTAATTGATTTGCTGAATTTTCGATGTGATGAAGTTCAAGTCAAGCTGATCAATAGTGGTCATGGACCCAACCTTGAAAAATGGACACCTTTTCGGTCGGTTCGACGTGTGTGCTTTATTCAGTCATTTAATCGCTATGTGAGTCGATGGTTTAAGCCGCAGGCTGAACGATCGATTTTCACTTGCTATCGTAGATTCCTAACACGGGTTAGAAACCGTGTTAGGAATCACACGTTGAAAGGTAAGACCTCGTTAGTCGTTAGCTCACACAAGTTTCGACTTCTGTGGGTTGTCGTTCGTGAGGGTGCGACAGATGGTTAGCGGAAAAACACATTTTAAACTTTTTTTTCTCTACAAGGTGTTGAAGGTTACTGTTTCAAACACTTTCCTTTATATTAAATTATTTTTACATTTTTCATTTTCCGCTCCACACAAAAAATGTCCAGGGAACATAGTGTGAAGCATAAAAATCTTACAAATATCTCAGTAAAGAATTCGAATGCTAGGTCGTTCAGTTCAAAACAAATAAAGTATTAGAGAGAGGGAGAGCGAGAGCAAGAGGAAAAGAGAAGTGAGAGAGAAAAGACAGAGAGAGGGTGGGTGTATTCAGTGGGCCACCAGTGGGAAAAGTGTATTTTTCGTGTTAACGAAACTATCGAAATGTGGAATGAAGAATGAATACTGATATTTCAGAATAGTGATTAGCCTGTATCTTAGCGGTCTGAAACTTGGGCATAGCGACAGCCGGTTCAAACCCGGTTATCGAGAAGTTTTTTTACAAGTACTCAATATCGGAATCGAAAGGCGACCACACTATGCCTCTTTGGAAAGCAAGTGTGTTGCAAGTTGTTTAGATGCCAATCTAGGGCTAGTTTGGAGTGCAACAGACCACTGGAGGTGGAGCTGTAGGTTTTTCGGGTCGTCCCGGTCGTCTCGATGAGCCTATATGAGTGTTTATTAGGGAAAATTATCATTATTATTAATATTAGCAACGTCCGTGAAAATTCCAATAGAATATTCATAACAGAGAAAACTAATAATACGAGAATAACTTCTGACAATCTTTTCCCAGTGTTGAAATTCCAAGTGATCCAATTAAAGCTATGACTACTATGAAAACTTCGATTTCCGAAGAAGAAGTACATACATATATTTAATCTTGATATGGATTTCAGTAATAATCTCTTAATTATTTTTATGATTCTCAACATGTGTATCAACTTCATGTCATAGAGGTTATTTCTGCTAGTTGCTGAATGTCACTACGCCCTTTATTACTATTTCAGATATGATAAAAGTGTTTTATTAAACAGTATCAAAGTTCATAAGCAATACCCACTAAAATAGTAGAAGAATATGTCAAATTTCAGAACTAGCATTTTAAAATTATTTTATCGATTTCATGAAAATGGCATTCCACTTCAAACCTAAAAATTATTTTCTATTGATTTACATGTTTCGATAATTTGAATTTCAGCAAATAACGCAAATTCAAAACCCCTTCAGTCAACTGATTTGTCAAAAAGACAAATCAGTTGGCTATGAATATGGAATTTTATTCAAAAATTCTATTGTCAAGTTTATAGATATTGAAAAATGTAATCATTCATTACCTGCATTCGAACGACATTGTATTGTTATCTGATCTGTGAACTCAATGGCTTTCAGAAACATTATATCTTGTTTGGTTTGCGGTAAAGAGTTAGGTCCACAGCAAATGGTTTGAATAGGTGAAGATGATGATGCGTTCAAAAGTGAATAGAAGTGGCTATTCGAAAACGAGATAAACTCGAAAGACCGTCAGGTGAGGTAATTGATTCAACCAGGTTATGCTTCACTTGTGATTGATCTATTCAGAATGAACTTATTGCAATACAAGATCCAACATATTTGAAGCTCAATGTTTTAACACAAACTCGTAATGGAACATGTCTGATTTGCAATGCTGCTGAAAATATTATTCGAATAACTACCGAATGAAAGAACATAGGGGTAGTTTCTTGAGTCAGACTACCAATTCCATATTTGCAAATTGGCAGAGAGGCATGAGTTCAACTATGACGTATTACATTTGGAAGAAAAAAGTTAGAAACTCAATCTTTTGGAATGCCTGGAAACAGTTGATTTGAAAACTCGGATAATTTACTGAATGATCAAATAAAATTGAATCCTTCCCCTCTGTTGAATCTGTTTTCTAATAAGGAAATTGGTAATTGGTGAAATTTCTTTTGCAATGTTTAAATTTTCAATCTCGGGGTGAGTGGCGTAGGAACCACTGTCTCTCTCTCTCTCTTATGGGTGTTTGACAGGCCCCCGGTGCAGACCACACGGCACTCACCCAGTAAAGTTATCGGTCAACCACCCAATCCCGCGCCTGCGGGTAACAAGGCGTTGGCCGGTTTCAAGCTAGATGTGTGGGAGAGGTGTCTCGCAAGAGCCCTCGGCGGTTACTCATCCAACGCTGGAAAGGTAGCTTTCCTAACATGAGTGCCCCTTGGGGTAACGTAAGGGTATGCGGTGCAGACCACACGGCGTACACCCAAAAGTTGTTGGCGAACCGCCCTATCCCGCACCTATACGGGCAATGGGCGCGACGTCTCCGACATAAAATGTGGGGTAGAGGATGCTCGAAAGAGTCCTCGACGGTTACTCATCAAACGATGGAAAGGGAACTTTCCTAACATGTGTTCTAGGGGGGAGGTGAGTGCCCGCTCGCGGCTGGAGGCTAGCGAGCCTCATCTCCAACTGGCGTTGGCCTCTTAGGAGCAGCGGCTCCACCAGCGGGTAAAGGGATACAGGGTTGCGGTAATCCATTCATGGGTGTATTGCAACCCCATTACTGAGGCACTGGACAGCTCATGCTGTTCCGTGATCCTTGCCTGCTTCTGTACGGATCCAAGCGTTCGAGGTGTCGAGGCTCGCGGTCCTTCCAATGGGCACTAGTATCCGAGTCTAGTCTTGGAGGACACCAAGGCAGACGTTCGAGGTGTTGGACCCCGGATGGACGGAGCTACTAGTATCCGAGCTTAGGATCCCGACCGGCCACTTCGGGGACAATATTCTCAACTGATTTGGCATGGTTGGCGGGGGCAGGTGTGCAACGCGAGCACTCTCTGGCGAAAGAAGAGCTTAGTTAACTTGTACGAACGTT